AGAAAGTTGATTAGTTTTGTGTTGTGTAAATTTGGGTGAATTGTGTGCTGAAAAAGGTGAGAATATTTGCATGGTAATGGTAATGGGAAAGTTTGGTAGCTAACAACAAGCAATTTGGAAGTTTTGGTTTGCCCCATTGATTGATGTTCCTATTTCTCTCTATCAAAACTGGAAGTGATTGGAATGGAACAGTGAGAAACAATTTGAAAGGGTGTGTATGAGATGATGATGATGAGTGATATTATATTATATATGGTTGTTAGTACTGGATGGAATGATTAAGCTCATGGTATGGTTATGGTTATGGTTATGGTTATGGTTATGGCATGGGGGGATTAATATTAATATTTAAATGGTGGGACCCAGATCTTATCAGTTCCAGGTGTTGGCTCAGGTGAGTGGGTCCCACTTGCTGGTCATTGCCTAAACCAATGTACAATGTCACTGACAAACAGGTGGATCATTCTCTCTTCTTTTCATTTTTCTTTTTTAGAAAAGCAAAAAAGAAAGAAAGAAAGCAAGAAAAAAGGAAAATTGGAAATGGAATCAGTGGTGGGGTGGGGATTTAGGGTTTTGATGATCCCCACCGGATCATTTATCTGTACCGTTCATTTTCTGGGCCCACCCCACTAATTATTATTCATTTTCCCTAATAAATAAATAAACCACAATTTCAATTTATATATATATATGGGTTTGTTTTTGTGTCAGAGCAGAAGAGGCTGTACAGTACCTCACCACAGGATACGATTATTTTGGATTGGCTGTCCCAAAATCTCCCGCTTTCTGTTATCAATTTTCACCTAAATAATTGATGCCAGTGCCATCCCCCACCAACTCCCTTTTGTTTTTGTTTTTGTTTTTTTTCTTTTTTCTCTCTGTAAATATCAAAATACATTTTAATGCTTAAATTACCCTTTCAGTCTCTTACAATTTCAAATTTTTCATGCTATTTCCAAAAAACAAGCAATAGAAACAAATTATATGGGTTTTGAGAAGAGATAATTAAAGTAGACTCTGTAGAAAAATAGGTGAGTTACTTTTACTGCACGTTCTTCAAAAACAAACCCATATTTTCTCTGTATTTCAGGTAAAAAGAAAAGAGATTTATTGGGATTGTTAAATCTAATACGAGGTTTTGAAAATAATAAAATTTTTATGGAAAATTTTAAACCAATTACTTTCTTTTGTTGATTTAACTAGTCTATTTGTTGTTGCTTATTTAATTTAAAAGTTTGTTGGTTGAAAATTAGGTAAAGAGACCATAATTATACATAAGTAGCTTTAATTATTATTGTTTTGTACAATATGAGTAGCATTGCACGGATGAATTATAAATGATATGTGTGAAAATGATGCTCTAGTAGATATATCTAATAATTTTTTTTTGAGATAGATATATCTAATAATTAATAGTTACTATGAGGCCACTTCAATAACTAAGTTACGATACGAGTAATCTTTTCTAAATATTTAAGAATCAAATATTATAACTGTCATTTACGCATTTGAATGGTTTTTATTTCCATCAAATTAGGACCTCTAGAATATGTGCAAATGGGTTTCTTTTGTAGGGATAATAATGAGTATAATAATATATGTAACTTAATAGAAATTTGAGGACACCAAAACGAGCATAGTCCAATGGTAATTGACATATATATCCAACTAAAGATTGTGAGTTCGATTCCCCACCTCGCATCATAAATGGTAGGTTGAATATTTAATGTAAAAAAGTTAAAAAGATTCAAAGAAAGCGATATTGAAAAGAAAAAAAAAATCATTTAAAGTAAAGTTTTCAGAAAAGAAAAGAGATTGAAATGTCAAAAACGTTGTGGATGCAAAACTGTATATTCGAGTATATATCATTTTACAAAGTGACTAAAATCCAAGAAGAACAAGGACAGGTGTCAACGGAAGAAAGCATTTGAACCGTTGATCAAAACAGACAATACAGTAGTTGGCCCCCACAAAAATCCAATGGCTGAAATAATTTGGTCAAATAATCGAGAGTGACAGTAACATTTCAAAAAATAAATTAACTGTTGGAATACAATTGTCACTATAAATAGCATAGGTCTCCATCCAAATATATTAGCCACATGCATATGAGTTCATATACTACAAAATTAATGGTCCCCAACACCAAAAAACAAATAAGAAAAAAACACCAAATTTTTTTAAGCCATTGCACCCTTAGGTTCAACAAACTTGCGGGCATGATTTTAGGAAAAAACGGTGTAATTCGAACTTGTCTCAATTATATCCCTTCTTTTTTTTTTCATTTTTATTCAATAGAATTTAGAAAATATAATTGAGACTTGAACCCAGGATATCTAAATTAAAAGTTTAGGGAACAACCACTGTAGCAGAATATTAGAACTGTTACCATTTTGCATATGTCGTCTCTAGAGACGACATGCTAGAATTAAAAAAAAAAATACATGGCATCGAGCAACTAGGGAAGTGTGAAGTGGCATAGGTGAATAAGTTTCAAATGAAGCATTATTAAAAAAAAAAAAATCCTTTTATAAACCAGGGATGATAAAATAATAATATTTTTATTCTTTTGAAAAAAACCGAAAACGAGAACAAGAAATTTGATGTTGATGTTGTAGTTTAAAATTTGTCTATATAATTTTAGTAATGATTCTAAGAAATTTGATTTTGATGTTGTAGTTTAAAATTTTTCTATATAATTTTAGTAATGGTTCTTAGAAATATGAAACGGGAATAATAAACAATTACCCAGCATTTATTTCTCTAAAAAATTGAGGAGAAATAGTAAACAGAAATTTTACAAACAGTAAGAAAATTTTTGTAGGGAAGGGAGTGTGTTACAAGACATTTTTGTTTAGGGTTGCTTTTTGGGTAAAGAAACAAACGTTGAACAGTGAAAAAAAGTAAAACAAAAGAGAAAAAAATGGTAAGATATCCAAAGCATGAAAGCATGTTGTCTCCCCTGGAATTATTATTTGTTTGGTTTTAAATTTTAAAAGGGGGGCATTTCGATGAGTTGTCATTCCACTTTTGGCTGCCAAAATCTTCATAATTAAATTATTAGAATTTGAACAAGAAGTTAATTAATTAGGGAAAATGGGATTAGGTAATAAAATAATCATTGATAAATCCAAAATGGGTCCATAGTCGGAGTTTAGACTTAGAGATGACATTGATGATACACAAGGCATGTGCTTCGGGTTGCTCTCACCCTACAGGTTGGTTGTTAGGACATTGCTTCTAAACCCCAAACCTCCCCTTCTAACTTTAGGTCTAAGCTCGATTCAAGTTTGACTTATGCTTTAACGATGCACAAATTTTGTATCATGACACAAAAATATTCATTCTCGAACAAAAGATGTTACATAATACTTAAAATCAAGTATTTTTTATAAGAGTTTACAAATATGAGCATAAACTTGTTAAAGAATATATAATCTACCAAAAGAGACTATGTATAGCCATTTTTAGTGGTAGCTAGCAAGAAACTCAATAGCTTGACTAAGGTTACCTAATCTCATATCCAAATATTGCCGTATGAAAAAAAAAAAAGTATTCAACTCAATTAGTTAATTTATTTGTAAACAATCACATATATTTTAGTATATCTGCAATTGGTTAGAAAAACATATCAAGAGAGCTTTTTTTTAGTTAAAGAAATTTGAAGTTGTTTTTCATTGATAATATATGCCTTAAATTATTATTATTATATTTTTTTTAGTACAACGTGTGGAGGTGATTGAAGATATATATCAATTATTACTCAGCTATACTCGTTTTGACCTAAGTTATTTTAAGTGAATGGATAAGGTAGGAAGGTAGAAATGTTTTGATAGTCATTATTGAGAATTATATCAGAATAATGGTGACCCCGTAATCGATGAAAGTCCTCAATTTAATGTTTTGATGGGGTTAGTTAACTTAATATTTAGAAATTATATTATATTAATTGGTTGAAGTTGATGTTAATTATTAATTATTATTGATAAACTGTTCGCGGCCTGGAGAACAGTGGAAAATATGTACTCAGGGATTCTTCAATCTTGGCACCAAATCTGACGGAGGAGGAACCAACCGAGTCAGAACTCAGAGCCCACTCGTGAGTTGCAAGTCTGTGAAATGAGTGCCACTCTTTGGAATTGGATTCTTCAGTCTCTTTCATATTCACTCACCACTCGCCATTTGTCAGAAGCTTATTGCCTTGATGGCAAGGACTGGAATTTGCTCCGCTCACTCTACCACCGTCGCCTTCGTCTGGTTCACCTCTGCCGTCCTCTTCTTCTTCCTCTTCCAAATGGCCCTCCACAACTCTGGTTCTGGTTCTGTTTCTTCATCAGGTATTCTTCTCATTCCTCGCGTGTCTCTTGAAAATTCCGTTTACTTTCCCAAAAAATTAGGGTTTATATTGGAAGATGAATGATAATTTGGCGATCTCTATTTGGGCGTTTAGGTTTAAAGTGAACATAGTAAGATTTTTAATTAATGGAGTGACAATTTGATTGGATCAATTCACGACCGTTGTGATTAACCAATGGAAAATAAAAACCATCTTGACGAATTGTTATCATCGTCATACGGTTTTGAGTTGAAATCAATTCATCAGGCAACTCTTGTGTTAATTCTTTTTTCTTATTAGATTTTTTAATGTTGTGGGAGCTCAGGTATTAATTTGATTAGTACAATGTAACAGAAGGATATAACATTCCAAAACTTTGAGCCTAATGCATGATCATGATCTAATACGATGTTGAGAAATAATTGATTCAAAAGATTAGATTGTTAGATTATGATGATTGATGAATGTAACGTGAATGTGTGGATTTTCTCCTATTTTATTTTTCAAACTCATAAATCATTTTAGGCCTTTTTGGTGAATAAATTTCGAGCATTCAGGAAATTGATTTTGAATTTTTGGCTAATTTGGACTCAAATTTTCCACAATGGACCATAGATAACCGAAACAACTAACTAAAACTGCTTTCGACTTGCCAATTTTTCTAAGCTTTAGTGCTTGCTGTAACTACATGTTATTCAGAAAGTCTAATATTACTGCTTTCATTTATATGATTATGTTTTCAACTTTATTTGGTTGCTTGATTAACAAAATGATAACAATGTGTTATGAAATAAAGTGTACCACATTGCTGAAAACTTCTATCAGCTTCTTTTGCATCAAATTCAGAGTTGAGGTCAAAATTGTACGATAAGATGGAGAAGGATTTGGATGAGAAAGGGGCAGTTTTCCTCAAGGATGGTGAAACATCTCAGTCTCTATCACTTTCTGATCTCTTCACTATTAAGGATGGATCTGTGACCCCTGTATTAAAGGCAAGCTGTTCCTGAAATAAATTCTATTCAAAATTTTATATTTCTTCCCACATTAGCTGCAAATGATGCCCTTTTCATCTATGTAGGCAGCAAATCCTCCTGTTCGTGCTAATGTTTTGTATCTAAGCACAGAGTACTCAGTTCCCATATCGTACGTATTGGCTTTTATGTTTTAATATATCCTTGCAAATAATCCATAATTGAGACCTCCATGTCCATACATCCATTTGGCATTTGGTGATGGCGTCAAAAATAATAAAATCTAAGTGGAGGAAGTGTGAGAGATGTTTGTTTAATTACTTTGACTGTAAAGGATATGTTTGACATTGCGTAATTTCATGCACAACAAATTATCTTATTATGAGCAAAAAGAAATCTTTATCAATTAAACATGTTTCAATTGAAGAGATAGATATCTTCAGTTGTTATACTTCCTAGACCGTTTCCTTTTTTGTTGTAGGACTTCTTAATCTCCTTTTCAGGGGATATATGCCCGTTAATAAATATTTATGTTGTGCTGCAGTGAGGCTGTAAAATCTGTATTCAATCCTCATTTTGATAAAGGTATGTTTTATTTGTTCATTTTCTTAAATAGGTTGTAGTTTACTTCCTACATTCAATGTAAATTTGTTTCTGGACTGAAATGATGGTGTCTGTGGTATTTCTTTTAGAATATGGTCTCATTCCTTAACATACGATCCCCTGTGCTTTGTTTAGCAATTTGGTTTCAGAACTCTAGCATGTACCATTTTAGCATGTTTCACGCATCACATCATATTACACCGGTTCCTGCTACTGAAGATGAGGTAAGTTGCCTTCTATATCCATTATTGTGTTGCTTTGAACCTTCTTTTGTGTATATCTTTTCAACAATCGTCTTTTGGCAGATTGAAGCTGAAGTAGCTGCTGTGAAGTCTGCAACAGAGCATATGTGCCGACTGAAAATAGTTCTAGACAGGGTTATTCTAACTTCAACAGGTGTTCTTCTAGGATGTTGGCAGGTAATTTCCTTTCAATTTATGGAGACGTCACTATAGCATTTTTTAGATTAAAGAAAAAAGCGTAGATTTTGGTTTTTTTTTTTTTGGTTTTTATTTATTTGTAGTTTTCCTCACGATACATTCATACAGGATGAGGGAAGCAGAGGACTTGCACGATTCTTTGTTTACCTTATCTTTCAGATCATGCTGAATCACACTATCGTGTCCTTGCACATTGAATATGAGCACACTGAATATGAAACATTATTGTTCTACGTTTAAGCTTGCAGCATTTGTTCTTCTGTTTAACAAGAGGGACAACAAACCTGAATTGAGACTGGCCGAGAGTTCAGAGAGTTCTTGTTATGATAATACTATTTCTGAAATTTTCTCTGACACCCATATTTAATTTGCACTAAAAGTTTAGTGAAATACAAGTTGAGTAAAAATCTCAGTATTCGTACTTGAAACTTTTGCTGTATAAGAAGTTTAAGAAAGCCAACTTCTTCAATCATTTTGGCCTTAAACTGAGTTTTGAGAGTCGAAATGTTGCATAAGATGGTTCTTATCTTTAGATGTGACCCAGAATAACTCAGTGATACTTTTGGCATACTTGTGTTACTTTGGAACACAATTTTCTTATTCTGACATTTTTGTCAATTTGAACCTTTGTTTATTTAGTTGATTAACTAAATTCCTTTTAGGTATCTAATTTGGTCTAATACTGAAGACAATCAACTGGTGCAATTTTAAAGAATCTTGTTGAATCATAAATTTTTGCTGAACCTTATTTTTCTTTTTGTGTAGGTAATATCAGGGACAGATCCTGTAACCATCCGTGCTAAACTAAGGACGGCACTTCCACATGCACCAGAGAAACAACTTGTATGAATTTATGATTTTTAATTCCAGTTTGTTTGAATTAGTGGCAGAATATTAGTTCCTATAATCTTTAGACTTGTTATCATTTAAGTTAGAAGGCATATGATATTTTAGTACATTATGCTAATAGAATAGGGCGATTGTCCTGGGAGATGTAAGCTATAATCATTGGTTTTAAATTTTTAATACATATTTATGAGATTGGTGAGATCTTGGCCCCCTTCATTTTGTAGTCTCCATAATGACGTAACAGCTATTAATGTCCATCTGCTTGCTTTGCCACTTTTTGGACGTCGCTGAGCTTTTACCACGGAAAGTAAATGGTTTAAATACGGATTTAGGGTAATTTGTTTTTAATAACGTTTCACTATTTTTTCACATGAAAAGAAATATATTTTTTGCCCCTCGATAAGTTATCTTTTAATTGAAAAGATAAAGTCCTGAAATATTTTAGAGTAGATGCATCCCATGTTTAATTTTCTCTCTATGATTTAAGTTATTTCTTGAGCATCCAATCGATATGAAGTTGTATATATCATACGCTTAGTGGAAGATTATGCTGTATTTATTGATTTATCTTGCCAATCATTGACATAAAGTACATAACTAATTTGCAATGCGACTATCTTCCACAGTATGATGCTGCTATTCTTCACACATCATTTGCTCGTCTTTTGGGTCACCCGAAACTTTCTGAAATGGTACTGTCTTTAGACTGTTTATTTCTGATATTTCTTGCTTTATTTAAGTCGAGATTCAGTAAGCCTGCTATAGTCATTGTCACTCTCATAATTGTGTGGTGTAAGTTTGTTAGGAACTGATATATACATAATAGATGTGGTAAATTGTGATAATATATATTTAGCCCTATTAAACTGAAATTGAAAGGACTACGGAGACTTCTAATTTTGAAGAAGTTTAGTTCTGGTCCAAATTCTTCCATTTTCTTCAGGAGGAAGCAAAAGGAAAACCAAAGACCCAAGATAGAAATTCGTAATATATATCAAATGGACGCTTGTTTTCCTAAAATGTACATGATAAGACGATTTTAAAAAATAGAAATAGAAACTTCATTAAATACACTCTTTTTCTTTAAAATAAAATTGAATACAAGAAATGGGAACTTCTCAAAATTCAAATGAAGTCTTAAACCCTGTCGAGAGTAGATGGCATATTTGTTGAATCTGTACTTTTATGTGACTAGTGTTTATGTTATTGTAGCTGCATGGAAGCTCTGATGAACTCCAACTCTTTCACGAGCTGGTTGCTCGCTTGAATAAACAAATCCGTGGATTTGAGGTAAGTTTTTAATCTCTCTCTGATTATATATAATATACGTACTTGTATAATATTATTTACCTTCATGTGTTGGGGTATAATGAGGATGGGTCCAACCTTTTCCTTTTTATAGGGATGATATAATGAGGGTCTATATTTGGGTCAGTTCTTACTTATACATGAAGTTGAAAATTGTTTTTGAGTACTTTCAAAATGAGAAAGCAAAAGCGAAAGAAAAAAAAAAGCATACCTGGATGAAGTAACCGCTCTGAGCACTACCTTTAAGGTCATTCTAAGAGATATAATCTGAAAATAGATGGGCTTATTGGAATCTGTGCTGGATTTGTTTTGTTCCATGAAAATGATAGATAGATTTAGCTTAAATCAACATAACTGTTGGAGGGTTGGATTTGAAATCTTGCAGGCAGTGGTGTCCGAGCTGTGGTATGTGGAGGAATACGATGTTTTAGCTCTGGCTTTGAATGGAAGAATGAAGATTCGCAAGTTCCAACTTGGGTGCTCCAGTTCTTGAGGCAAAGACTATCCATTGAAGCAAAATACATGAACAAACAACACTCAGTTTTAAAGAGTTAATCTTGTAAACAAACCGTAGTCGTCATATACTGCTACTTCGGGCTAAAAGTATGAGTATATTTTCCTCCAAATTGTCTTCTCCACCTCCTCAGAATGATTCAGAGATATTTATTGTAAATGAAGTATGAAGTATGAACCACTCTTTTGTACAATGACATATTTGCCGAATTTTTATAAGAGCACGAGCAAGACCTCCGTAAGCGTGACGGGCAGATAATAGAGGCCATGGGCGACACGCTCCTCAAATAGTCAATGGGATAACGCCATCGTTTCTTTTGTCTGCGTCTTCGTGGACGCCACACGTCTGGGATTCATTTTTTAATACTAAATTTTAAAATTCAGTGATAGCGTTGCTTTTTATGGGCCAAAACTCTAATACAATATTGTCAAAAAGGCAAGAAATTAAGATGAGAATTTTTCAATTTTGTTCTCCAACGTACAAATTTGTCCGAGATAATTTTGAACCCTTGTTGCCTCGTTGAGTTCATGCAACTTCATCAACTCAACTCTTTCAGCGGTCATTTGAATTCTTAAATCAATCATTCCACAAAATAATGACATTTTATTGAATTAAAAAATAATCATAATCAATTTTTTTGAATGATGAATAATGGGTCAATGGGATTAGCTCAATTTATTGTTGATGCCCAAATCTACTCAAGTATCATGGAACAATGAGAGCTCCACTCTATCGATTGCAGAGCGATAGATAAACTTGATCTGAATGTTCGCGTGGGAGCTAAAGGCTTTTTCCCGACCTGTGAGTTTTTATTTATGTGAACGAGCATTCGACATTGGAGCCCAAATCCATTCCAAACCTTGCATGTGATGGGGGAGAAAGCCGAGTCATAGGCCAAGCAAGCAAATTGAGATTAGAGATCGAAAATAGAGAGGAAACGACAAAAGGGGGAGCGTGTCAACCATGCGTGTTGTACTTCGAATTACGCTTCCGGCCACGTGCTCTGTATCGTTCCAGCCCTTCCTGCCACACGCCCACCTCGGTCCTTCAGATGAGGCTGCGCCAGCCCTAATTTTCCACCACATTTTCTCTTTCATTTTTTTGGTTCACCATTGCTTTGCTCCTACTCAATTTCTCCAATTTCTCACGCTCTTTCCCCTCCCTGCTTTTTCCTTCCGAGGTATTCTCTTTGTTTTAACTATGAATCATTCTTATGGGCTTCTTTATTGTCTTCTTTGCGTCCTTACATTACACTTTTGTTCGTTTTCTTCTTAGTTTCCTCTGTTTCTTCTCTACAATTTACGCCCAATTTGCCGCTAACCCGTCTGAATTTTAACTTTCAAAATGCTGGAGGTTATCAGTTCATCAGTTGTTTGCTACCGCATGTTTTCCTTTGTGTCAAATGTGGAGTATCTAATTACCACTGATCTTACTTGCATACTTGGTATAATTTCCTGCGTTCATTGAAATGAGTAGGAATTCTGAATTCTTTGCTTTGCTTTGATTATTAAGATGTAATCATGGGGGATATTTGTAATTGCAGAAGTTTTCGAAGTGGGGTTTTCAATCGGTTTCACTTGCTCTAGAAGAAGATCATGGTTTCTGAGGTTCCTTCCCAACCGATTGTTGAAACTGATACTGCAGTAGCGTCCAGGTAATTCTTGATGATTCATGATTGTAAGATTTATGTTGTTGAATATTCCGAATGTTTTAAACTGTTGTGCTTGTATTGTTGTATCAATCAATCATCCAAATACCGTATTTGTAGTTGAATTTACCAATGTGGAATGTGGAATGTGAAGGTTGAATTCTTTTTTGCAATATTCTTTGTGAACCATTGTCTTTAAATGGAACCATTAGTGCGTAGATGTTATAACGTTGTAAATTGCCCGATGACAGTTTGGGCTGCATTTATGAAATATGCTATAAGATCATTCACCAGGTAATCGTGGTGGCTTGGCTGTAAGTTTGAACTTTGAACCATCTCTTTTTGCAGGAACTGCCCTGGTAAAAAAAACCAGTCGAAAGTTCCTAAGAAGATTCACAAGGCCGAGAGGGAGAAGTTGAAGCGAGAGCAGTTAAACGATCTCTTCCTTGACCTAGCAAATGCACTTGGTAATTTCTGCTCCTTTTAATTTATGATGATTACGCTTTACTGTTTCCTCTTCAATTATAACTCTCACTTTAGATCACAATTATGTTTTACCCATTGGCAAAATGTCTTTCTTAAGTTAAAACATAGCTTGATATGCCACCAATTTTGACTTGGTAGAATCTTAAGATATGCTCCAATTGGCATATTGTCAGTCAGCTTTTCTCATACTTGGAATGGTCATCTGCAGAGCTCACAGAACCCAACAATGGAAAGGCATCCATATTGTGTGAAGCAAGTCGACTGCTAAAAGACTTGTCTGGTCAGATTGAGTGCCTCAAAAAGGAGCACGCAATGTTATTGTCCGAATCTCGATATGTAAGGCTCTTAAGGAGAGAGCATTACTCTTTCTATTTCTAAGAATTAACCAGAAACATGTCTGTAAATAGTTGACTTGATTTCTTTAACTCTTTTATAATAATTTGCACGATTTATCGATTAGGTTGACATTGAGAAGAACGAGCTGCAAGAAGAGACTTCTGCTTTAGCATCTCAGATTGAGAAACTGCAAAGTGAGTTACAATCAAGGGCGATTCATTCTAAACCCGACTTAAATATCCCCCCGCCTGCAGAGTTTCCGCTACAAGCGACGACGATATCACAATTTTCAGGGGAGTGCCTTGGATTGCCTGTTATGGAACCCGCGATACAGCAAACACATGCAGTTTTTATTGTCCCCATGCAGCCAGATCTCCCAGGTTACCCAACAGCGGATGCCGCTCATGCGGCAACAATGCCTACCTCACATGTAAGCAAACCACATGCCAGATATCCCACACCAGCAGATTCCTGGCCTGCTGGACTCCTCAGATTGTCACAAACAACAGAACCAAGTGAGAGCTGATTTTGTAGTGTCCTCGTTTGTTTTTGTAAAACAGATGCCCTCAGTAGATGAATTGTATAACAAGTTAAAAATGGTTGAGATGGGCAACCTGGTGTTTTAGGAACTATCTATCTGTAGGATGTTCAAAAGTTAGAATTAGAATCTTGAATCATTGACCCTTCAATAACCAACTGATGAATCTTCCATCTGTCTCTCTTTTTCTCTATAGAAAACACTGCTCCAGTCACCTGGTTCTCAAGCCAATTTAAACCAGATACTTTTGACAAGATTGCTTAGATCTTAGGTTAACTTGGAGTATGCAAATTTGACCACCATTTTCAATCTGCTGGGAGGCCTTGGAATTTTCCCAGTCAAGCTCAGCCACGGGCCTTTTGGGAATCTGAGACAAAAAAGAAAGAGTTCAGAGAGTGGGGATAATGTGAGTTCGAGAAGGCTTTACTTTACCTCCCTTTGTCATTCTGTGGAAACTTTTTATTGGTGGACCCTCAGCCTTCACCCTCAAAGGACCGAACTTGGCTTCTCGAATATTGAAATATTGAGATTCATATTTCAGAATTATTATGCAAAAACTATAGTTATAGATAAAAAATGGTTTAACATATTTCACTTAAATTTGATGAAGTAACACAACATAAATTTTTCATTTCAGTTATATTATATTTTATTACAACACGCAGATGGAGTTTCGAACTCATGACCTTTTGGTCAGAGCTACATGTCAACCGTTGAGCTATGCTCGTTTAATTATTAATATAAATAATATTTATATTAAATGATGATCAATTTTAGTTAGAAAAGAACATGAAATCCTACGAGTTACCTTACCAGAGAAGATAATTAAAAAAAAAACTCATTTAAAGCATGAAAATCTAAATTTATAAAATTTGAAAAAAAGAATCAACATTTGTGAAATATAATTATTGCTAAATTGAGCTGAGATAATTTCCCATAAATTAACCTCGCATTAATATTCTCTCTTATATTTTTTCTCTTTCTTTTTAATCTCTTTATTCCATCGTTCTTTTTTCTTTCCCTTTGCCTATCGTTTCTTTTTCTTTTTCCCTCTGGAAAGTTCGCAACACAAGGTATAAAGTCAACAGAAGGTGAGAGTTTTTACCAACCTACCCATTGGGTTATCCGCTAATTTTCTTTCATTCCCACATTTTTAAATGAATGATTAGGTGCAAAGTTCAAGCCTTCATAGTCACTCTCTCTCTGGGCTGGGCTATTGAACTGGACAGAAGAACGCAAGAGCTTTACGAGAAATACATAATCCAGAAACTTCAGAGTTCAGATCAGGCGAAGGAAGGGAACTTGTCGACAATCAATTGACGCTAACTGGGAAACTCTCCGAAATGGGATCTGGAGCGGGCAGTTTTTTCAAGGTCGTCCTCAAGAACTTCGACGTTCTTGCCGGGTATGTTCCTCTCCTATTTCTTTATTCTTGCCACTTTGCTTCTGGTTATCCGACAAAAGGGATCGATTTTCCCTGGTGGGTTGACCTTGCCAGGGCAGACAAGAAAATTTCTGAACACTAATTTACTAGCTACTAACATTTAGCTGGAAGAATAGATAAGTGTTGAGTGAGCAAATGAACTACCTGTTTAGTCAAAAGGAACATTCCAAACCCCGGCCTCCTTTGCCAATACCTTCTCATGAACGATCTCTGTATGCAATGTTGGTTCTGAGCAAAGAGACCAACCTCCATAGTTCTGTACCGCAACACCGGACAACCATGAGAGGACCCATGTTCTCTGAAGAAAGATTCAAGCCAAATACCCCCAGTTGCAGCCTGACCCAAGTACTCTGATGCTATTCTAGACCGTGCTAAGGAGTATCGGTTGGGGCACTGAAAACTGACTAAGCGTGTTAACTGCAAAACTGAGGCCTTTAAATATACTATGAACTCGTCAACTTTCTATCTAGTACCGTAGGACTTGGTTTTCCATGTTGTGTTTCAGTTTTAATTGGTGGATCTTGAGTATTATTGGTTTGAGAAAGATAAAGAATACCCATCACTGCAATGTACCTCAAAACTAAGAAAGTAGCTTAATGATCCAAGGCTTTCCAGAGCAAGAGTCTGCTGGGTTGTAAAATTATATCTCGAACCATAACTTGTGAGCACCTAATGATTTAATATCATCAACATAAGCTAGAGGAAAATAGAATGATGAGTAGAATTAATTCTCTCAAACTAGGCACTTGGAGCTTGACAAGGACCATACAGGGCCTTGTGTAGCTTACAATTAACACATGTAAATTGTAATCTTCCTGTCAGGGGACTACAAAACCAGCTTGCTGTTCCATATAAACGATTAAGGCCATCATTTAGGAGTATAAAGACTCTAAAGGTAGAGGCTTTACACCAAGACTGATTATATGAATATCTCAACACCTAGAGTTTGTTGAAACCCTAAGGCAACCAAACAAGCTTTGGACCTATTAACTGTCAGTTCCGTCAGCATTCTCTTGAACCTTAAACAACCAGTCATAGAAGCTACAAAAGACCATGACTGCGTATGCTTTAAGACAACATCTTTCCACTTAATATCTAATTTTCACTTAGGATCAGTAAGTGTCATCTCTACACTGGAAGGCTCAATAGGTAAGTGACCCCAAGGTAGGAATCATAGGAAGACATGGATATTTTGGTTTGAAAAAATACCAGCTTTAGATCTAGTGGTCATTGGATGGGGGGTGTAAGGACCAGGATGATGATTTGAATTAGGAAAAGAACCTTGTGTACGAGGTTGTTCAATTATGTGATTGAAGGGTTGATATTATGTTTTGATGATAAAGGAGAGAAGTATGTACCTTATTTAGATTTTTGTAAATTAAAAGGAGAACAACAGTAGAAACTGGCTTGTAGGAATTGTAGGATCATGCAAATGAAACCCAGCAGTAGGATTCAAAAGTTAAAGGATTCTGGCTGCATACTTGAGGAGTTCTGTTAGCTAATCGTTGGGAGAAAATCCAGGAAGATTAGACTTAGGGAGAGAAAGGGGAGACTTTCCATATACCTACCTCAATTATTTTCTTTCCCGGTCAATTCAAACTATTTTCTGACTGGCGACTGCTATCACATAAGCGCACATTGGCATATTTTTAACTTCATTCATGGGTTTTGTTTGCAGGCCTCTGGTGAGTCTTGTTTATCCTCTGTAAGTGGTTCTGCATCTTTGTCTAATTTTGTACCTTTTTCATTAATGATGACTATGGACTGTTTGGTAGTTGAAGTATTGATTGTAGCTCTAATATTTGCTATTTGGCAGATATGCATCAGTTAGAGCCATTGAAACAAAGTCTCCTGTGGATGATCAGCAATGGCTTACTTACTGGATTCTATATTCTATGCTCACCCTCTTTGAGCTTACATTTGCCAAAGTTCTCGAATGGTAAAATTTCTACATTAGTTTAGAAATTGCACACTGCTTGTTTTCTCATTTTGCCTTGAGGTTTTCAAATTGCAAAAGAAGGCAGTTACAAATCTATGTATTGCCTCGTGGTTAATCTGCTAGAGATCATGACTTGGCATTTCAAATCACATATGGTTATGATGGAATAATTTGCACATAGATGTTGCTGCTTTTTTTGGTCCAATTTTAAAAATGACGTATTGATATTTATGTATATTGTGCTCTTTTACTTAGCTGCATCCGACTTTAAAACCTAGTTGTGTTATCTTGCCTTGTCCTGGATGTTTGGTAAGATTTATATTTTAAAAATTTTCTGAGTCTGCTTGCTATGGTCTTTTTCTTACTTCCTTTTTTCTTTGAAGTTCATTTTATTTTAGCTTATGATTCTCATAAGCATGATTCAAGTTTTCATCTTGTATTTCATATACTTTTTAATTTTGAAGTTCTTGACCCAATCCTTTAATGAAGGTTTACTCCTACAATAGTATGCTGATATGTGATTAGAATTTAGAGCTATATGTTATTGTCCATCATGATAAGTATAGATGTAAGGGAAATCAGAATTCTGTAGACTACTCCCTCTGTCAAATGTTGTGGTTGGTTAACTTCTTAGGTATGGGACAGAGTTAGAACTGGCTAAAACTGATGAGTTTCCTTTTTGCTCCCTTAAATCTTTACAATAGGATCCCTATCTGGCCATATGCAAAGTTGATTTTATCATGCTGGTTGGTCATTCCATACTTCAGTGGTGCTGCATATGTGTATGAGCATTTCGTCAGGCCGCTTTTCACCAACAAACAGACGGTTAACATTTGGTATGTTCCAAAGATGAAGGACTTCTTCAGCAAGTCCGACGACATCCTAACTGCTGCAGAGAAGTACATTGCTGAAAATGGGACCGAAGACCTCCAAAATCTCATAAACAGGGTATACATTCTGACTAACTTTATAGTCTATGGTTGGTTTTCACAAAGAAAACAAAGCAAAAACCGCATTTGCTTGCTTTAGAACAATTTTGAACTGAGTGATTATATGAATCGCAATCGATAGCAACATTGAGTGTTTTTTGATTTGTTCCTGTAGGCTGATAAGGCTCAGGCAAGTAATCGTTACATGAGCTATTCTGAGGGCCACAGCCACGACCACGACCACGACGAGTATTGGCACTAATCTATATCAAGTGTTGGAGGACAATAGAGTACAATGTTTTGGGCTGTCTTTCAGCTGATGTTGTGTGATAGAGTTTAATTATATGCCTCATAGTGAAATGTTTTGTTATTGTTCATATGAAACACTGGACAGTCCTCTGTAGTCTGTAAGATATAAGTTACAACCTCCAACTTCATGTTTACTAATTATTGTTCATATGCAGGTGTTAAGCTAATCTGTTGATTAAGAGTTTCTACACAGTTTCTACGGGCAAAGCACATTTTCAGAGTTATGAAAGTTAGTTAATTAGTTATTAATTAATTATAGTAGGCAATTAATTAATTACAAAAAGGAGTAAAATTTTAGTTGTCATGATCCAAGGGGAAGCATGCAATGAATGTTTCCATCTTTGAGTCATTTCAACTATCTATTATTATACACTTTTGACAATCATAGGTTAATTATATTAAATTTAATTTATATATTCTCAACTTGCTGATATTAGAACTGCAACTTTGCTCTTTGGAAAGTTATAAAAAATAGTTCCAAATACATTTTTGTCTTAATGTTATATATTAATTGTGGATTTCTGTTTCGTAATGGAGTACTAAACTTAAACAAATATATATTAACATAAACAAAAACCTACTTGTGGAGAAATTATTCGTCTAGAATAATGTGTGAGTGCCGTTTTTAACCTTAATTAAATTGATAAACCCACTTTATTAAATCATATACACCATTACGTTGATGATATTTTGGAAAACAAAGTTTATTATATAATCCAATTCCTATAATGTTTAGGAGTTATATATTAAATAATTAAATTAGGTTAGCATATAGTTTTCCTTAAAATTTACCCCAATTTAATTTAAGGTTTAAAAAGTTTTTATTTTGATTCATATACATTTTCTAATAAATTCTAAACTCAATACTTACACTATTTGTATTTTACTATCTTATTATATGTTGCTCATAAAGATTGGAAAATACAAGGTTACATTAAAAATTTCAGTTTAATAGTAAAGGAAGAAGGAAAGATTTGCGAGGATTAAAGAAAAATTTTATTAGAAAAACGTTTAGAGTATTCAAATTCGTAGATGTCAAAAAAAACAAGAAACAACAAAAATTACTTTTATTTTCTATTGATGCTGATGTTGTGCATGGACTTACTTCAATTTGGGTTTTCTTCTCCTTTTTTCTTGACAATGGTGATCGAATTCAGAATCTCTTGATTAGAGATATATGCCAATTATCGGTAAACTATGCTTGCTTTGGTAGGTTTTCTTTTCCTTTATGTATGAAGGGAGAGAGTGGTTAGAGAGTGTAGAGCAGACACATGGGGTGGCATGCTGTGCTAGAGGATCATCGAGATATCGACATTCTTCTTCCTTCTGTGTATTATAGAGAAGGGCACGGCGGTATCCTAAACGACTCTTTGGAGTGTCTCGCAATTTGGGTGCACGGTGTCAACACTCATTCCCGTTGGCTGTCATTTATACAAATTGTCCAGATATGCTTGGCCCCTCGAATCGGTGCGCTTGGAGGCCTTTGCCCGATTTTTGCTAACCTTGATCCACACATGGTAGCTTAGATGGAGTTGAGACGCATGATGCCTTAAATTTACCCAATTATAACATTTCCTTTTTCTAAAAATTTAAACCCTAATACTACACTAGAAGTAGAGGATTATCAAATCGAGTATTCAAAGATGAAATTTAGTTTATTTTATGTTAAGTTAGGTGTGGTGATCTAAAATGAAGTCTCAAAACCCTAAGCTAAAATTCTTAGTTCCCTAGGTGTATAAATGAGTTCTCATCTCCCCATAACCCTATAAGCACGTATTCTAGAAAAATATTTTAGTGTTAACTGTTAGCTCACAATTAAATAGAAAAAAAAAAAACGTATTTTTCTTTTTCTACCTTCCTCCTTTTTAATTTTTAAAATTCTAAAATTAGGAAAAATAGGAATGTGTAGATGGATAAACAAGTTTCGTATTGTATTTGGCAAAGTAAAAAGAATTGTTTTATGGGTTCGATGCATGGAAGACAGAAAAAGATGCTCTTTGTTTTAATTTAAACAGCGTTTCCACGTGCAACTCTCTCTTCTTTCTAAGCTCCCTCTCCCAATACCCAACCTTCTTTTGTCTCATCCCCCATTGCAAAATACTATTCTTTTTTTGGCTTCTCTTTTAATTAATCACAATAAAACACACCACTTATTTTGCATTTATTATATTTTTCACTAATTAACCCACATTAATTCTACTTATAATTAAACCCTGTCTCATACCCCTTCAATTTAGCTTTAATGATCTATCTTTTAAGTTTCTATTAAAGTTTCTTTTTTTTTTTTTAATTCAAATGTTAATTGTAATTAAGAAGTCTATAATTAAATTAAATTATATCTTATTTTCGTTACAGGATTGATGGGGGCTCTCGCTCTAACAGGCCGGCTTTTAGAGTCTACTATCATCCCTTTTGTTCCTTCCTATGCTATATAATAATCAAATAAATATAATTAAGGAGTTTAGGTTTCTATTTTGAGTATGTTTCTTTTCTAAAATTAAAAAACAACAAATACAGACGTCAGATAGTGATATATATTATTCATTATAATTAAATTACTTGTAGGATTAGATCTTAAAAGCATATATATAACTCTATAAGTACCTAGCTAGCTAGTATTAGTATATGCACTAGCGTATCATAATTTTGAAAAAAGTATAAAAATTGTTTCAACGTACCGCCCCTCCCCTCCGATGATATAGTCCACTTTGAGCATAAGTCTTTCTGAGTTCGACTACAATTAGACAGAACGAATAACTATATATGTAGGAATGAATGTGGGGTTAGTTGATATAATAGATGAATTATTATAAAGTTTTTGTTCTTGTTTTGACAGTTTAGAGACAAGAGACGATGACGCTCTCATTCCAAAGCATATTAAATATATAAGATAATGTTAGAGAGAGATTAAAGAAAGAAATGAAGGAAGAAAGAGGACAAATGATGAGCATATGCAATGAGAAGTATGAACAAATATGAATAATATGCGTCAAATTTGGAGCCCTAAAGAAAAATCTGACACTGCCCACTGGTTTGGAAAGCCAAAATTAAAGAAATTCTGACACTCTCCTCGCTTCGCTGTCATAATTTTGGATCCAAATTCATGTGCCCCGCGATGCTTGCTGAGCCCCCACCACCCCCCTCTCTTAATAATATCTCATTTCTTTAACTCCACCCTTTAAATTTTATATTTTTTTAATATAAAGTTTGAGAACCAAAATAACATTTAAAGATAGTTTGTTTAACCCATAGTTTTAGGGTTTGGTATGTGTGTGTATCTATAGGCCGAGAGGTTGATATTTTGAATCGCTTTAGATTAATGACGCATTGTATTATTAAAAAGAAGAAGGGATTGGTGTGTGTTATGTTGTATTAATTAATTGTTGAAATTAAATTAATTTGAGTACGTCAACCCTATATTTGTGCTGCAAGCTCATATGGGTGTATCCTAATTTAATTCATTTGAGAGCTTATGGTTTGTAATTGTATGCATGAGATCGTCATAGCGAGAGTATCTTAGAGAAAACGAATGATGTTCATGTTCGTAATAGTGTTTATTCTAGAGAACAAACTTTGATGGAGTCCACTTCGGAGTTAATTTCATAACCTTTTCACGTTTGTAGCTTGATGTTTGTTAGATGATATCCAATATAAATAAATTAAATTTACTAAACCCATCAGCTTAAGCTTTTGGGTTAAGTGGTGGTTTATTCATTCTTAAGAATGTTTTTGGTTTGTGTGCTTGTTTTTCTTGTTTGTTTCGTGTGTGTTTCGTTTTTGTAGTGACTCGATATCAGACTGAGAGATCCTTCTTCTTCCTTTTTTTTTCCTTTCCAAATATCCATAAGCTTTGGAAAGGAAAAAATAGACCATACCCTTTCTTTATAAAATGTAGATTTATTAACTGCTGCACTTTCAGATTTAACTGCCATGCCCACACATCCATTTAACTTAATTCACTAATTATTAATTAATTTATATGTATCAGAATTCAGAGCAACAATTATAAATATATATAGTGTGTATAATTTAAATTTAGTGGTTTTGCAAGGGATTGGACAAGTCAGATGCACGTGGTGATGAAAATTGATGCTGATTGGTGTCTAGGTTTTTGCAAATGATCATCAGATCTCTCTGTTTCTTCCCCACGACACCAAAAAAAAAAAAAAAAAGATTCTCAATTATTATCCCCCACAACAACTTGGCCTTAATTGTCCATATTAATTAATAATTACTACTTCTAAACCTTTCATGCACAAATTAAATCGGTGAATTAATTAATCTCCGATCTATAACGTAAAGATTATGATTTTACTGTAATAAATTTTGATACGATTCTAAAATTAGAGGTGCTATAGTTGAAGCTTATGGCGGGACTCACATTATTCATTATTCATTATTTATTGTGATTTTATTATATTTTTTTTTATAACCTAAGACGAAATGAAGACATAAAGTTTGATGTGGAAGGAGCTAGGAACGACGACAACTGCAGATCAGTAGTGTAATTAAGTGAAAGCTAGTCAAAATTAATACTATAAATTCCAGCTTAATTATGTATATGTATGCAATTATTTAAGTTACATGATGTGATGATTAGCGGAGAATTTGTTGTTGAAAATTTGGAAAAAGTACACAGCATATTAATTATTGTGTTCATGCAAGACTGTTATTAGTTCCAAGAAAGCCGTATAAACTAATCTAATCATACCTCTAAAATACATACATTTATATATCTATGTAATCTTAGAATCTAAATACTTCAATAATGCAACAAAAGTTTGATAATTTGCAAGCTCCACTCCTCAATAGTAATATTGAAGGATGAATTTTGCCATCTCCTTAAGATTTTAATTCCAAAAATTAACCCATATGTTTCAATAGTTACATTATTGATATTGCATTAATCTTTTTTACCTTGGAAAAATGATCGAGGGGAGGATGGTGAGTTGACATGACACTGTTGTAAAATATTAATTTATGAGATATTTGATGTGATAAAGATCTACATGTCTAGGTGATTAATTAAACATTAATAGCTAGGGTTAGCTAGGTCTCTTATAGTTTAATTTATATTCATATATCTCTTTAAAATTAAATATTTTCATATTTGCGTTCTACACAGTATTAGTTTATAGGTTGACTGGTCAACTAATTAGTAATCAATTCACTCATCTGTATAATAGAGAGAGAGAGAGAGTAGCCACTGATATAATATACATTATATTATTCATTATTTTGGGAAATACTATACAATATACATAACTCTCATAATATATTATAAGAAAAGTGCATTATACAGTGATCGGTAAAAGAAATAATTGAAAAAGAACAATCTCATGCGACCCCATCTTTATTAAATAAAAAATCTTAGTTGAGTTAGCTTACACGAAAGAAGTTCGCAATACATCGATGCAAATATCAATCCATGTAAGAAATGTAAATTTCAGAGGGGTACTAAGTGAATTTTGTCACTAAAAAGAGGTTTAAATATTAATTTAGTCATCGTATTTGATTTTGGTTCATTTTAGTAGGATTTGTAAAAAAGAAGGAAACACTTCAATGCTTGAGTCAGTATAGGCACGAGCTCAAGTAGGTAGTTCTTGGAACAGAATTGCGTACTTGGGTTGGAAGAATGAGTATTTTTTAGAGGTGGAGTGAAGGGACGAATCCGTTATGGCCGTTACAACAACACGGTTAAATGGTTATGAAATGTCAGATCATAGGTTGGCAATTACTGAAGTCGGCTATTCAACCTTCCATATGGATGAGTTTAATAGCTTGGTAGTGGATGAGTTTAAGAGCTCTCGATAGTACACGAGCTTATGAGTTTGGTGGTAGGTGAACTTAGTAGCTTGGTAGTGGATGAACTTAGTAGCTCGGCCATATATGAGATTAGAAATTCGATGGTAGATGAACTTAGGAGTTCAGTCATATCTTAGCACGTGGTAGGCCATATTTTTGCCCTCAACATTTACCCAAACTTTATAGTAAGTTTTATGAAGCTACGTGATGTTTTCTAACTCAAATAAACAAAAGTTGAAAATACAAAAATCAAAATAAATATTTTAAAACTACCTCACTAAAATAAACCAAATACATCAATTAAAATAGTATTTAAACTTAAAAGATAAGAAACAACTGCAATACAAAACGTTGAAGTAAATACAAAAGAGACAAGAAAAAAGAAAAGAATAGAAAAGAAGAGAAAATTGATTCTCTCTATTTCGTCCTCTCTCTGAGAGTCTATTTAAAAAGCGATGAGGGGAAGTGCTTTTTCCCATGCAATTGTTTTTTGCAGTCTTCAAAACCCCACTACTTGTTTCATTCAAACACACTCATCCATCATCTCATCTTCAAGAACCCACCACTTATTTTTCTTCTACCTTCACTTCACTATATATATTTTTTGCTACTCTACCTCCCATTTACATATAATCAATTATAAGAATGTCAAGCAGAAGATCCAGATCTAGGCAATCAGGCAGTTCAAGGATCACCGATGACCAAATTAACGATCTCGTCTCCAAGTTGCAGCAACTCCTCCCCGAGATTCGCCACAGGCAATCCGACAAGGTGATCCTCAAACCCCTTGTTTTTCTTTTTTGTTTTGTTTTTCTAACGAGTGGTTATCGATTTTTAATTTAGTATCGAAGATAAAATGTATACCTTAAGCTGATAGTTTAGGGCGGTGTGTGCGTAGGTTTCGGCCGCGAATGTGTTGCAAGAGACATGTAACTACATAAGAAGCCTGCATAGAGAGGTTGATGATCTAAGTGAGAGACTTTCAGAGTTGTTGGCCACGTCTGATACTGCTCAAGCTGCCATTATTAGGAGTTTATTGATGCAATAGAGATCATATATTTATATAATTAAGTGTTGTAGCTATATGAGACAACCTTAATTAATTTGGCTAATTTTGAGGTTTTTTTTTTTCTTTTTTTGCTATGTCTGGTACCTCCACCGATTCTGACGTAGTTGCTTGCTTGCTCTTTCAAATGCCACTCTCTGATCTTAGAGAGGCACTCCCATAAATCGTTTTATAAAATTAATTAAGGCCTTTTTTGTTCATCAATAAAATTATTCCATTCTCAGCTAAATTTTCACTCTTTATACCTTAACTCGGTGATCTCCCTTGACTTTTAGACAGATTGGAATAATTATATAATTTCTTGATCTCGATTAAACTACCAATGACTAGCTGTGTAGTTTGATTGATGGAAAATTTTGATACTGCAAAAGTATACCGACCATGTCAGTATTGTATTAAAAATAATGTGCGGTCTACCATATTAAAAAGTTTTTTATAAATACAAAACAATGATGTGAAATAGTACTCTAGATTTACACCTCTTTTTTTTTCTTCCATATGAGAGTATCTATCCCTAATTAATATTCTACGGTTTTTGGTTGATTGAGTTAACTCAAATAATTAAATTGATTGAAATTTTACTTTTAAAAATTTTTATTTGAGTATCGTTAACTCGGGTCTTTGTTTTAATATGTTGGTCATATTTTTTGTGGAAGCGTTTTTTTTTTCCTCAACAATTTTATAAAGTTTTCAATACATGACATTTTAAAAAATGATAATAAATTGGTCTCTCCATATAAAAGGCTAATAATGTGAGTAGTTCTGAAAAAATTGCATGGGGACAGGACAATGAAGAGACATATCCATACTTTAATTTTAAAAGTATTTGTTTTCGTTTTTTTTTACGAAATAATGAAAATGGTAAAATTCCCGTAAAATTTATTCAGACAAAATTAGTTAATGAATAATATATGATTGAGTAATATGACATAATCATCTACTATTTCTAATAATCACAATTCATCTAATATAAATACACAAACATTTTTATAATTATTATATTTTATTAGTCTGTTTGTAAATTATTATATTGGGCTACTCTACAGGTATATAACGGACTGAATAGAAAATAAGGAAAAAAAATGGACGGATCAAACCAAACAAATCGATTTAAATATCCTATTTTTCCCCCAAAAGATTGATCTTCTCATTTCTACTAATAGTAAAACTGAAAATTTTAAATTTGATTGGTTTATTTTAGTTTTATTAAAAAACAAAATAAAAAAGGCACCAAATTAAAATATAATGAAAAATTTTGTCGACTAGTACTACTTTCTATGAAAATCTAAAGATATGACCCTCTTTGTAATAATTTAAAATGATATACTAATCCATTATTAATTAATTTAAGTTAGAAATACTATTTTGTTCATATATGCTTTAGTTAAAACCGTCTATTTTAGTCTCTCTCTTTTTAATTTTTATTCATGTATTTTGAAACGACTATTTTTGTCCCCATACTTTTAAAAATTTACGATTTTAGATAATTAATTTTTTTTATTACATTTCTTTATGTCATAATTTTAGCACGACTAATCTTGCACTAAATTTCTTGAAATATAATTATAAATTTAATATAAAAGGTTTCTATTGTATATACAATTTGTGTTATAAGTCAATATGAGTTTTATTCAATAATAATTGGTACTTGTCTTGATCTTTGACGAGGAAATCATGAATTTGAATCTCTCCCTGGTTATATTATAAAATAAAATTTTGTGATATAATTTTAATAAATCTAAGTATCTTGTAATTTCATAGTTAAACTGAACATGTTTTCCTTAGCCCATGTATCTCAGCCCAACCCATACCGAGCCCACTCGTCTGTTTCAGGCTTTTGGGACCCTTCCTTAAAAAAAAAAAGAGAATGTTCTTCCATATCTACCCTCACAAACAATGTCAATTTCGAAAAAGAAAAACCAGTCAAATACTAACATGCTCTTGTTAAAGAAAAAACAAATCGACACGAAAGTGGCTTACTTACATATCTCACTATATATGCATTTAACTCTAAAGTCGTTCGTCCAAATTCTCGAGGAATTCCGACTTCTAGGATCATGACCCCGGATCTCAACTGGCCTCCACTGAGCTTGTCACCGATACCACTAACATCGTCTTCATTCTGCATACGCTTTCTCTAGGCATTCTTATACGCACCCTTTTAGTGTGAGAGGTGATGTACCATCTTCTTTGGACGCATCACGATACTTCTCTCTCAGCCTTCAACATGACTCGACGGACGACACTCTGTCCACTACGTGGAGGTCACAATCTACTCTCTACTAGTATGTTGTGACATTCTCCCCCACTTAAACTGTCATCGTACTCGATGACATACTCGTGGGGTACAATCTCCATCGGAAAATAAAAAAAAACCAATGTCGGAGTAGAAAATTGAATCATTTACTTTTGAAATGATAATAAATGTCTTATCCACTCAGTTATATTTGAATTCTCATATAAAAGGAAAATAGGAAAAGATTTAACTTATACCATAATACTTGACATAATGTATCGAATAACACTTTTATCTCTTTGAACTATAAATTTAAATAAGTGTTTTAAATTTTACCATTTGTTAATTTTCGCTAAATTTACCTATTAATTTTAATTAAAAAAGAAGTTAAAATTTTTTAAAAAATCACAGATATCAAGCATCATATAAAATTAAATTCCATATTTATAGTTGCATCAATGTCTTAGTCAATATATGTTTTACAAATCTTTAAATGCATATGAGAATATTTTTTTAAGGTAAAGATGGTAACAATATTTATATATATTTTTTAGATAAAATAACGAAGGTAACATTTATCAAGGTTTAAATGCAACTTACAAAATTAGAAGTTTATAGTAAAAATTATACACCTTATGAAATTAGAGGGTAAAAAATATTGATTTCTGTTACTAATAGTTTGGTGCAAGTCGGACAAAATGGAAGCAATAAATAACACAAAATCCACAAATAAATGCATGTACCTGTCAAGGGCAATTTAGGTCCAGGAGTGTCAAAATTCAAAATCAAATTGTAAAGAAAACAAAGGTTATTTTTGCAAACATTTTTTTCCATGGCAATATCGTAAAGAGCACCATCATAAAGGGCACATTCGGAAATTCATTTAAAATTTGTCCCTAATTCCTAATTTTGACCCCCTCGATGCCCTCTCCGATGCTGATTCCCACTCCCCGAACGCAACTTCTGCTTTCTACATTTTCATCAATACATCGCTTCGATTGCAGAGTGAAACGCTTGCTCCGGCTCGGAAGAGAGGAGAACCAAGAAGAAGAAGAAGGGCCGAGACCTTCGAAGCGTATCGATAAACGACATTTAGAGTAACGGAGAGGCATTTTCATGCCAGCTTCCGCCAATTAATCAAACCCCTCTGGTATTGATCACGAAGTTCTTTTGATTCTGATGCAGAAGTTTCATTTCCTATAATTTCGTGCATTCAATTATATTCAATTTCTTGCCCAATTCCTCTTTTACTCATTGATTCTTGACTATCACAGACGATCATCTAGTGGGCATGTTTCGCTTGCCTGAAATATTTTATTTTTGGACAGAATTGTAAAGCGGGTTTGGAGTGAGGATGGTGCTGGTGTTGGCCTTGGGGGATTTACATATACCGCATAGAGCCCCTGACCTGCCCGAGAAATTCAAGTCTATGCTTGTTCCTGGCAAGATCCAGCACATCATCTGCACCGGAAACCTTTGTATCAAAGTATGTTCAAATCATCTTTCCAGCTACTTTTATTCTGGTACTTGCCTTCCTGGATTCTTCTTCTTTCGGTATCTCTTACTGACTCTTATGTTGGTGCATCCGAAAAAGCATTTTAAGTCGGAATCCTAGTAATCGCTGCTGCTGCTACCGACTTAAAATCATAAAATGGAAATGATCTTCGCATTTAGAGGACGTTCCCGGCCTCCTTGCCATCTAATTGTAGTTGAGACTGATATGTTTTACTGTTATATGTGTTTAGATTGTCTTCTTTCACTATGTACTTATAAGTACGACATCAATGTTCTTGCGAGTCTTGTCTTTAAACCATTTTGTTTGATGATTTTGGTGTCCAAATTCCAACACATGGTAAAGTGTAACTGACGAAACATCTTTAGAAAATTTGTGACTTGGTAAATCTACAATTGATCTTTATAGTTGCTGGGTTATAGTGTGAATTATGAATTATCCAAGGCATGATTAATAGCTATGCATTTAGGTTTAAACCATGAGAAATATGTATTGGATATGTAAGTCTGTGCTGTGCTCCAATTTGACATTTATGAATACTCGATTATTTGAATCTTAACAGATCTTCAAATTCTGCCATTTATCAATGGTAACTTTATATTTCAATTTGTCATAACCTAGTGTTGATTTTCCCATATTGCATTAATCTTACTGATGGTTCTAATAATTTTGTCTGATTTTAAGATCTTTTCCTTGGCATCTGTCCTGGATAGTATTCTGAGCAATATTTTTCTTCTTTTGATATAGTATTGATTTGTGGTTTATTTGCCGTTTACTATATCATATGTAAGCTTCTCCCAAGGATTCATGTAAATTTGGAGGTTATGTTGGTAACATTCTTTTATACTATTGAAATTTGTTAAGTTATGGAGAACTTACCAAGGGATAGTGCAGTAAACTTCTCAAGTCTCTTGGTATTCTGTTGTGGTGGTGATTGTCACATAACCAACCTATGGTAGTAGTTAGGGCGCTTTTTTCCCATATATTGAAGTTCTTAGATAATCAACGCATTTAATTATTTGTAAGCTCTCACAATTCTGGAGCTCGGGCCTCAATGACCAATTCTTCTCCATTGATCGTACTGGACTCTATAAAAACAGAGAAGTGGGAGGATGATACAAAAGTACACTGAAGAGCTATGCACGGATATATAAACACACATGGAAACTAACTGAGTGAACAGCTGTAATTAAAACATAACTGAATATGCTAACTGCCCATTAGTCACTTAAAAATAATAAACCACCGAATAGACTCTTGGTAATTTTAGTTTTATCTGAACTTTATACAACTTGTAAGAAAGCACTTTATTCAATATGTCTTGTGTCTTTAGTCCAAGTGTTAGGCTTAGTATTGAAGACTTAGATTTATGAAAAATAAAATTGTGGATTCAGAACCCTTTGCAGCACAATTTGCTTGTATTAAATACCACATATGATTGAATAGAAAAATCAAGTTTACATTGTTGGGATGACTATGAGCATTAACTTCTATTTGGATCTCTGTTCATCATAAGTGGGTTCGGACTTTTTTTTTGGGTATGTTAAGTGCCTCGGTTCAACTGCGATAATTATTTTGTTTAATTCATGATGCAATAGGTGGAACTGTGTTGTTTAATTGTGTTATCCGTTCCTCCAGAGAATAATTGGTGTAATAGTTCAAAGTTTACTAATGATGTTTTCAGGAAGTTCACGACTACTTGAAAACTATTTGTCCTGATTTGCACATTACACGGGGTGAATATGATGAAGAGTCTCGTTATCCAGAGACAAAAACTCTGACTATTGGACAGTTTAAATTGGGACTGTGCCATGGGCATCAGGTATTGTCTGTTGCTTTTTTTGCAATCTCACCTTCCTTTTCAAGTTGACTAGCTTTCCCTGATTCTTTCTTCTTTTATCAATTGAATAACAAATGACATGTTGAAGTTCACTTTATGAAATGGTTTCAGATGGTATACTCAGTAACTGATGGGATTAATTAAGATCCCCGTCTCTCTTTTTTTGGTGTATTTAGGATCATCAATTTAAGAGACTGAATACTAAAACTTCTGATTCAATTAGTAGCCATGAATAGTAATCTTTATAACAACTGACACTGAGCAAACAAAACTTCTGTACTTGGGTATTTGCTACCAGAAGTCAACAATAGAAAAGAAGTGGTCTTGTCATGTAGAAATTCGCCAACTACTTGTGGAATATCATGTCCATGAATTATATTTGTTGCTGGCCGGCTCTTGTGTGTAGGTTATTCCATGGGGAGACCTGGACTCGCTCGCCATGATGCAGAGGCAGCTAGATGTAGACATCCTTGTTACTGGTCACACTCATCAATTTACAGCCTACAAACATGAGGGAGGTGTGGTGATAAACCCCGGATCTGCAACAGGTGCATACAGCAGCATCACTTATGACGTCAACCCAAGCTTTGTCCTCATGGACATCGATGGCCTTCGTGTTGTGGTCTATGTTTACGAACTCATCGATGGAGAGGTTAAGGTAGACAAGATTGATTTCAAGAAGACAACCACGACAGCTCATTGACCAAAAACAAATTGGCTTTTATATAAACATTTGAACAGTTACTTTCTTTTCTTTTCTATGGAGTTGTTGTGATACATGTCAATGATGCTTAATCTTACTGCTGCAAGGATGGTGTTTCTGTGGTGATTGATCACAGAAAAGAGTTGTAGGTTCTGTTGTTGCTCCTTGTGACTTTGTGCGATATTTGATGAGGTTGTGCACATCACAGAAGCCCTTGCTTCTTGTACCTTGCCTTCATCTCTTTAGTTTTCAATTTCAGTAAGCGAAAGTTGATCTAATCTTGCAAAATGGCATATCCTCTTCCTCAGATAACACTGATTTCAACATGTCTGTTAAGGCAGCCCATTACAAGACGAAGTCCATCTGATTAGTTGCAAATAACAGAAGTTTAGTAGATTAGTTAACTATTACCGAGGGCTGTTGTGAGTTTAATTCTCTGTATCTGAACGTACATGCTTGTCACAGTAGGGAATCTTCTTTTTACCTCAGTCAATATAAAAGAGTTAACTGTATATCAGAATTAATCAATGAAGATCTGATAAAATTTTACAATCAATACAAAGTGAAATGGAGACAAAATAGATGTTTTATCGGTAATTTTGAGTTTAATTCCTCAATCTCTACTTGTACTAAACATTTTTTGAGATCTCAAAAATAACATAAGCTATAAAGATCTGTAGGGATGAATTTAAAAGAGTTCTAAAGTTAAAAAATGTTGCCAATTAAAGAGTTACAAATTCAAATAGCAAATAGGATGAAAAGTGCTTTTTTCACTTCTCACAATCTCTTTTCCTATTTCCAACTCTGTCATGGATAGTTCGCTTAGGCCACAAGGCTCGAGGGTGGTCTTCCCCTATAATAGCATTACAAGGCAATCTTGAAATACACAAT